CCCGGCGGAGTGGGGGCGTGGCAGCCGGTCAGCTGGGGGGGAGCCTGTCCCAGGGAACCCTCGTGGTTACTTGGGAAAAGCGCAAGGCGCGCGGTGCTGCTGATCCGGTTCTAGTTTGTGATGGGCTAAGTTGCTTCTGGAAGGAGGAGAAGGAAGACCTCTGAGCAAACAAGCAATGCCATTAGTGTTGGTCTATGAAAAACATCCATAGCTGGGTAGTATCTTTCTTGGGACTAACCTAAATAGTCATATTTTTATTTGCTATCTAAATACAGTACAACACTTGTTCCCCGCTTTCCCTCCACCCACCCTGGGAAGTAATTGGACTGGGAGACAGCAACTGGCCCAAATATTATATAATTGAAGTCTGCTTGAAATCAGCTGTCCATTTCTACACCTGTCGGTGGCTGAAAAATGTATTTAGAGTGAGGTCTTCTCTTCGTCTTGCTTCCTATCGTGCCCCTTTAACTCACCTATGTAAGAGCATAAGCAGAGATAATTTTGGTTGCATTTTTCTCTGAACTTGTTCTTTGTAGGCTCATGGCTGTACTTGGCTGGCCACTGTGGGAAGCCACAGTCCAGACAATATGGTGAAACAATTTGTCTCCTTATGGCAACCCTCCTTAGATTACGTGCTTGCATGGAGAAAAAATGAGGTTTTGATTGTGGGATTTAATGATTAGACGGTTTGTGCTGATAGAAATAACGTGAACTTGAATTAATTAGTGGTAAGAGATTAATGTTTTTTTATTTGTATTTATATCTGTATTGGAGATAGTCGGAAGTCATTTTCTGTTTCAATTTTCTATCTATCTTCACTATTATAGTTTCTGTCTTTTTTCTTTTAGCCCTATCTTCTCTCTTTGCTGTACTTTCTGTTTTGTATTTTAACTGTACTTTGTAATACAATATAATACGGTTCTTATTAAAAAAAAAAATATATGGTGAAATAGGTTCCAGGCTGGCAAAGGAGTGAGACAGGCTGTATACTCTCATCTTCTTTGTCTGCTGAATATATATTGAGGGAGGCTGGTTTGGAAGAAGAAAAGTGCAGTTTTCAAATTGGAGGAGGAAACATCAACAGCCTTTGCTATGCTGATGTTTCACTACTCTCATAGGTGAAAATGTGAATGATCTGCAGGCTTTAGTAATGAAAGTCAAGGAGCAAAGGTGAAAAAATGGGACTAAGATTAAACATAAAAAAGATGAAACTAAGCCTTAGATTGACAGTGAAGACATTGAAGTGGTGGATAGTTTATCCCTTTCAGGATCGACTGTCAGCAGTAATGGCAGTCGAGAAATGTGCTGAAGATTAGTACTTGATAGGGTAGCAATGAAAGCCTTGAAAAATATATTTGGATACAGTGATGTGCCTTTACATACAAAGATCAAAATTGTGCAGCCAGCGGTTTTACCTGTGACACTCTATGGAAACGAAAGTGGTCTTTGAAGAAGCAGGATGGAAAGAGCTTCTATCCAATGCTTCTCAACTTTACTGTCGAAGAAGACTCTAGCATAGCATGGATAGATAGAAAACAAACAAATGAATCATAGTCCAAATCAATCCAGAGTTTTCAGTTGAGGCCCAAATAATCAGGCTCAAATTACCATATTTTGGAGACATCATGCAAAGACCCAGCCCCATGAGAAGTCCATAATGCTGGGAAAGGTGGAAGGACAGAGAAGAAGAGAACCACAAGCAAGATGGATGGCTGGGTCATAATTTGATCTAGTGTGATACAAGGGAGGAATTTGGAGAAAGACGATTCCATCAATTTCTGTCTCAAATTGCAATTTATAGAATTTGGAATTGTGTAATACACCTGCCCTCTGTATTAAATACTGAGGGACAATTAACATTTCTTTTGTGTTTGCTTTTTTATTTTTACATATATATTATTTAAAAAGCATTTACACTTAATGATATTCAAAGTTTCAAATATCACATACTTCAATTATGCTTAGTTTTTCCTCAAGCTAACAGAACACACAGTCCGGGATCCTCCAGAATACCAAGCTTCTTCCCCCAAAACTTAATTCCAAACAAAGCACCCTTCCTAAAACAAAGAATTATACCCAAACTGAAGGAACCTTGTCTTCCATCCTCTATCCCTATTGTCTCCTTTAACAGGACATTTACTATATTTTATATTTTGTGTTATGCTACCGTTGTGTCAAATTGTAATTGTATTGCTATCATGTTGCTATTTATTGACCCACATCAATATTTTTTCAACAGCTTTGAGCCTGCACAGGTTTTAACATCTGCCAGTTTCTAGTAAAACTTGCCTGTCTTTTGAGAAATGCCTGGTTTTGGTTCTGCATTTTGTACTGTTCCTAGAGTGAATGATTATAGGTTTCCTGTCCTACATACTTCTGTGCCATTGGTCTTCCCAAAACAGTGTATAGCAGAAGTACAGGCTATTTAAAACAAGTGTCTTCCCTATTTTGCTGTTCCTTGTATTTCTGCAAAAGCCTAACATAGTCTGCTATTTCTATTCAGAATTAATATGGTATCATCCATTTATCTAAATGTAGGTTATGTCTATAATATTAGTTAAGATTAATTTGTCTCCCTAGTTGTATTAATATTTATTTATGCATCATTTATACAGTCTCCCATTCCCCCTCCCCCCACCAAAATAAGGGTAATATAAACAGCCCTTACACTCCAATTCCTACAAAATAAATCAGTTTTCACTGCTTTTTTCAGTGATAGCAAAATTGGGAGAGTCTGGACTTTTGTGGGGAAGCCATTCCATAGGGATGGAATGGGCACCCAAACGTCTCCAGGTCACACACCTCTGGTCTGGTAACCCAAAGCATTGGCTCCTGCATCAGACATACAGGGTGGGCAGATTCAGTTGGAAGGATGTGGTCCTGAAGGTATCTAGAAGCCAAACTATATAGAGCTTTATTCAATAAAACCAGCACTTCAAATTGTTCTTGAAAGCCTATATCATGTGAATGTAAGTATTGGTATATTAGTGACATGTATAATTAAATGTAAGAGCGTTCATGCATTATTCAACATTTATATGACGCCACTTGAAAGGATCATTGGCAGATTTAGAACTAGATGCTACTAATATGCTGACAATACCTAATGATAATTCCCTTTTCTGCAAGGCCAGCATTGGATGCCTCCAGGCTTCTGCATGTCTCCGCCTTATAAAGGAAAGGATGTGGGATAATAAGCTGAAACTGAGACAAGACGGAACTGTTACTGATTCTAGGGGGTGAACTTCAAACCAGTCGAGCAAGCAACTAATAAATCACTCAAATTACATGTTTTTAATCAGACAATGGAACACGAAAGTTAAGTCTAGCAACATTTACATCACTGTGGCATGTAATTTTCTCAACAAGGTTGGATCAGTAACAAGAAAACTTAATTATGATACTTTAATGGGCTAGATATATCAAAAGACTCTAGGCATTGTTCATGCCTGTATTTTTTTTTTAATACAAAAAAACCCCAGTTGTATTATAATCTACTAATTGTCCACAAATTAGCTTCCAAGACAATCTAGATTATCAAAATGTTTTAATTAGATTTTGGTATCCACAATGACAATGGAAGGTTTTCAGAGACTATAATAGGATATTTTCTTTCTCTATACCTGTATTTCCTTTATGGCTTGACTTACAATACAGACCCATGTGTAACATCAAAGAAAAAATATTATAAGGGAAACCACTATATTGCTATGAGGCATTTTCTTTCCTAACTTATTTGTGACAGTAGTATTGTGGTAATCAAGTGAGAGCTCCTTCTGTAGTTTTGATATCTTAGTTCATGTTTGAATTGGGGAAATGAAATTGAGAAAAAGGCAATTTTATAATAGTGCATACATTGGCTACAGCAGATGGCCATGAATACCTGATGCTCCCACAACTGGCTCAAAAATGCAAAGATCTGCGTTGGGAGCAGGCAGATCTTTGGCTTTTCTCAGCAAATTTAGACTAGTTATGATGTAGATGAGAAATTCTTTAAAAATAAATGGGCCTACTCAATTCAGTGTCAAGATAGAAGCTAATTTTACTATGCTAGAAGTAAAACTGATGAGCAAGAATATTCTACTATTCTTGGTATTAGAGGAAGCCAGAATTAGTCTGCAAAAATAGACCTTGACAAAACTCCAGTTTGAGATCCCCAAGACAATGTATCAAGGCAAATAACTTCATACCTCAAATTCATTGCCCCTATATACAGTCTAAGAAGAAAAAAGTTGAAATAGTTTAAGATAGAGTGAAAATCAAAGCTTTCCTCTTTGTACAACTCATCTGGAATATACCATGCCTACATAGGATAGTAACATCAGAGATTTGTATATTTTGCTGTGTTTATTGCCAGGGACTACACTGTGTGAAGAACTGTGTTTATGATTATAACCTGCAGTGCAGTGCAGTGATTAGAGAGTGGGACTGGGCTTTGAAAAACCGAGAATTCAAGACATCTCTTGACTATGACAGTCACTGTGCAAATGTATACTTGTCACTCTTCCTCAGCCCAAACAGCCTAGCAAACTTGTTGCAGGTATAGAATGAGTGGTGTCTGTTTGTACTGTATGCTCTTTAAGAAAAGACTGATAATGTTTGCTTAGGAACACTGGCCACCAAAACATTTTTAATGTGTTTAAAAAATATTTGTATTTGACAGAGGCAGTTTGTATATTAATATGAGAGAAGGGTACACAGGTGAATTTCCGGTGAGACTATCAGCTTTTGTGTGAATAGAAAAATAGCCGATATGCATGAATTAAAGCACCATTGCTGAGGTTTATTCTCCCATAGTAGGCATAATGCTGATGCATGTTAAAGGGCAGTAGAACTTATTCAGCTAGGTTTCTTATGACCAGAAATTCTAAAAAGAGCAGATATAGAAGCAATATGCCTAGGGATGTCATGCTATGTCTGGTCATTCTGATTTTATGTCTGGGAGAATCAGCATAATACTGAAGAATTCTCTGATAACCTCTTCCATTGAACATCGGGTTTCTGAGTCTGTATCGTTCCAATAACATAGCTTTATATTTCCACAATTATATTAGAATATATTAGTCTTCACACTTAAATATATTGAACTAAAGTGGGACTTACTTCTGAATAAACATGTATGCAATTGCACTATTTTTTAATATTTGACAAAGGATACTGCTGCTATACTAAGACAGTCCTTCTCGTAAAGTTCTTTTCTGAATAACTATAGTGAAACATTGCTTCTGTTGCAATCATCAGTTTGTCATGGCTTTGACCATAGTTTTCAGAAACATCATGCAATTATATCTTGCAATGTTATGGAAAGGCTGAAAATCACCCTTTCACAAAAATCTGCTCAGGACCAGACCATCAAGTTCATTTCAGCTAAGACTTAAACTACATTTGATTCAGGATATTCATAACCTACTGGCTCACTAACCTCTCAATGGTTAAGCTAAGCTAAAGAAGTAAGAAATTCTGCACAGAAATAAATGAAAGGCCTGCCTCCTTAACATGCAAACGTGTTTCACTGACTAGGCCTTTGTTAAAAACAAATCTTATAAAGAGTATCATTTATGCAAATTCATACAGTTCTAGTGTTGTGACAATGTTGTGAAATAGAGAAATTGTCTGCTTTTGTTATTTGTCAGAGCTAGAAGTGGGGTTATGAGTCATCCTAGTAGATAATAAAAATATCAATCGGTTCCTTTAAATCAATCTCAACTCCTGGTAATTACATGGACATATCCAGGTTGTTTTCTAGGCAACAACACAGAAGTAGTTTGCCATTGCCTTCTTCCAAGATGTTTTTCTGATTTCCCAATCTAACTGACAACCATAGGAATTTCTGTAAGTTTCCCATCCAGATATTAATTAATACTAATTAATTATATATTAAATATTAATAGGGTCTGATTCTGCTTAGCTTTTGGGGACTAACCAAGTTGGCTATATGTAATGTATTGTGGTATAAAACAGCACTCAACAAACTTACCAAACAACTAGAAAGGATCCAAATGATCATTTTGTTGTATTGATACAGTGAATCCCATATCATTACTACTATATGGTTGCCATTCATTTTATGAACTGAAAAAGTAGTTGTTCCTCTCATCCTTATGTTTGAGTGGCTGTCTTAATCAAATATTGTCTGGGTTAATACTTCATATTAAGCCACATTTTGATTAACCATGCTTTAATGAATAAGCTATAATAGGTTAGGATCACACATATTGCAACATCATAAACTCTGTTTTACAGTCCAGAATAGCTAGGTTCACATCATATAGTAAGTCAAAATCAAATAAATCACATTATAACTTACAGTAGTGTATATGTGAACCCAGCCTGTATATTAAGGTCTATTGAAGTAAATCCAAAGTAATAGCAAACATTTTCCAATTAACTACTAGTGTGGTCTCATGAGGCTTTATGGAGAGTCCATACAACTACATCTCCTTCTATGGCTGTCTTGAAGGACTCCAAATACAGTTCTTCTTTGTTTTGTTTTTTGAGTTAATGGAAGAGGATTAAATACCATTGGACTAAGCCAGACTAAGAAACTGAAAAATATCTCAAAAGAAGGCATTGGCAAACCATTTCTATACTATTGCTAAGAAAACTACATTGCACTCAACTCAGAGGAGATTTGACATTTACCTAAGCTAGGAACAAAAGATCAAAATATTTCTTTGATTAAGTATGTTAATTTAAGTAGTTGTTATGTTGTACACATAATAGTTATACATACTGCAAAAGTATGTATATGTGTTTTGTAGAACCTGAAATATGGCAGTTAATTTATCCAGGTTGCTATAGCCAAAAATCTATTTGGAAGGACTGAAAACATTATTTTATGGATGAATTTAGGGACAACTTTTCTTTGTTGTGACCCCCTCTGCTCCATTCCTGATCAGATTCTAACCATTCGTAAACTCAAGAAGAGTTTTTGATTGACTTCTGCTATTGTGGCCCCAGTTCAATGAAACATCCTCCCTAAGGAGATTCTCAACGCATGGAACTTCAATTTTACTGTTCAAACTTTGATTTTTAATTTAGTGTTTGCTGACTTAGAATTGTGGGAATTAAATAGTAGATTATATAGCACTGGCTACAAATATTATTCCATTTTTAATATTTCTGTGATGCCTTCTATTATAGGGAAAGGCCATAACTCTGTAACGGAACAGACACTCTTCATGTAAAGAGTTCCAGGTTCAACCCTTGTCTTCTCCAGGATTAGTTGGGAAGAACACCTGCTTCAGAACCTGGGAAGCCACTGCCAAACAACAGGAACAGTACAGAGCTACCTGGAGCATTGGTCAGATTCAACAGAAAACAGCTTCTTTTGTTCCCAGTTTATATTGTTCAGTGCTTTCTGTTAGCTAATTTCCACTACGGAGAACAGTATGGAAGGAACATTTGACCTTGATGTTTAAATGCATCAAGGTGCATATTTAAAAATGAAAGAGGGTTGTTTTTTTCCCTGAAAAGTTGGGTCATATTGGTTAATATTCATGGCATTGTGGAAGACAGCATGAAAAAGCAAACACATGGTGGCTTTGCATGTGGCAGTGAAATTCTCCTGACCTGCACGAGTCACTTCTGTTTTCTAGGCAGTCCACAAATTTCCACATTGTTTTCAGTGTTTCACTGTAAAAACTAGGTACCTGCTCTTGCTTACAAAAGAGAACAAAGCAGAAGTTCTAAGGCTTGAGCAGATTGGCCAAATTCCATATTTGGAATCAGCAGTTCAACTGCAACTGAATGAACACTGACTGCCTAGGCAAAACCTGCAAGGAACCGTGTCAGAATTAAAATGCCACATTTTAGGATCAAAGAAGAATGTGCCTTAAATAGCCTCCTGCATAGCCTCTTAGTATGCAACAGCTGCAGGCATCTTTGTCATAATCTGCGGGTTAGAGGGCAAAAAGGCACAGTTGGAACATGTTGCATTCTTTGCTTTCCAGCTGCTTCAACCATCCAGAGGGATAGTTTCAGTAACATATCTCTCAAAACTTCATTAGGGTAGAACTGACAATATCATATGCCAGATTCTGGGGAGCGGGTTGGGAGGGGAATCTGAGATACATAATGGTGACTTAAGGAATATTATGGTACTGTTTAAAATGTTGCCCTAAGAAAACAATATTTCCAGATTAACTTTTATCTCTCTCTAGTAGTTTGCCTCCTATGAGACATATAATGAGAAAGAAAATGGTCAAAATCCTGGCATTGTTATCCACACTGACCCATTAATTCTAACTAAACACATTTACTTGGCAACTAATTCCTCCCATTGATTTCATTACACTTACTATTACACAAATGCCTGTAAGATCCCAGCCTCAGTCTAATTTTAACACTTCTACATTGAGAAGTGAATCTACAACACAAACCATCTACCACAATGCAAAGTATCCAGACCTGGAAAGCTTGCGTCCAAAGTATGTCTCTTTGTTTTCACCATAGTGCTTACAGTAAATTGATCTAATTTCCTACCAGCCCTTGGAGGCGCTTCACATGCCCTCAGAGTTTGCATCACTTCCAGGACTTCTTTGCATTTCCCACAATCAGGATGCACAACTGAGTATTGGAAAACAATGGAAGACTAGAATCTGTTGTACAAAATCAATAATAATAATAATAATAATAATAATATAACAAGATGAGGACATTTAGGGAAAATTGGAGATCCATATCCATGGTTATTTCCCCCTATGCACTCATGAAGGATATTCCACATGCTTCCAAGAGAGGCCTGAATTCAAATTAAAAAAACAGGATGAAAGAAATAATTATGCTTCTGAGACAATAGATAATAAGACTGGTCATTCACAAATTGCTCTCATGGTTTTCTTCTGTCTCTACGGTCACTGGGGGAAGTCCCCCATTGTCATTCAGTCGTTTCGCCCTGTAAGTTTCATAGTGGATGTTGTGAGTGACTTCTTTTAGGTCTTGAAGGTGGGTCCTGAAGAACAAGTGAAAAAAAAAATGAACATAAGTCAAAAAGTGGATCATTATATCATGGAAGTACAGGAGCACTTATTTATTTATTTATTTATTTATTTAACATAGCAAATGATCAAGATTATCCAACAATATTAGCTTTATTTTAAATTGTTTGAAGACTGAATATTTCCTTTATTCTCCTGCTTCTTCATCTCTCAAGATTGTCATAGAGGGTTGATAAATTTCTCTAACCCTTTTTTAAAACTCTAAGCTTGTAGCCATTATCGTATCTTGTGGCAGAACATTTCATAAGATGTCTGTTATCTGAAGAAGTATTTTGTTTGTTCTAAATTTGTCCTATATTCATGACAAACTTAGCCAGCCTAGTGAGCTATAGGGAGCAAGTGAGAAAAAAGAGATATTTGCATCTCTCCATTCTCTCCTTTTTATTATTTTATTTGTTCCCACGTTGTGCAACAGGAGGGGATTAGCAAGTTGCTTGTTGTAAGTATCACCTCTCTGGAGATAGAGTTATGGCTGGGTGCTGGTGAAGGGAGCTGGATTCCTTACCTCCTCTGTTCCTCAACCTCACTCTCCCGTGGTGGGGAATCCAAATAATTTTTACCATGGTCATTTTACATGCTGTAGTGTGGCAATGGCTTATTTAATTTTTTCAGTTTACCAGTAAATCATTTCAGTTGAATAGGCAGCACCCTTAATAGTCAGTCTCACCTAATGACAAAATCTCGTAGTAGAGCAAATTCACAATGGTTGAGATTTTCCACTGTAAATAAAGGAAATTACATTAATTGTATCTTAAATGAGAATATAGTAATAGAATCACAAAACTGAAAGGAAACCTTGAAAGCTGATCCTTGCCTGAAGCAGCACTAATGTAAGAGGATATCTTGCCATTTTTAGATCTCCCACACTATCTGACTGGTAGTGGATTAGATAAAACATTTCACAAGAATTCCATATGATTGGATCTAAAACAAAAACACCCCCCTCCCCGCAGGAGACTAGAAGGTAGGGGGCTTTTTCCACCAACTTCTGCGCATAGTAGGTCTAGCCTCTCATGTTTATCAAAAGTTTTTTCTGATGACTGGGGAAACCACTCGAATAACATTGGTTGCTGTGCAGATAGTTCAGATACTATCATCAAAAATCAAGTGAAAGCACTGTATGGAGCAGAGATTTGTGAGGAGGAGAAATTTACCTTCATCTGCCTTCATCCACATTCTTTTCTCACTCATATTTCTTCACAACTCCCTATCTACTTATTTATTTATTATAAATGTTTCTATGGTAATTCAGTTACCTGACTCTAAGAGTATGAACACAAAGTAGTATAAAAATCCACCAAATATTTAAAAAAACAATATATCAGAAATAATACAACGAGCAATAATATGCTAATAAAAGCATGGTGTCATATATCATCAAAGCAAAAAAAAAAAAAATCATCTTGTATTCAGATCTACACTCTCGTCTCCAAATGCAGGTTGAAAGGGAAATGTTTTTAAAAGCTTCCTGAGCATTAGAGTTTGGCATCTATTGTCCTTCCTAATGCTTAAAATGTTTAAAAGCTAATATCAACCCATTATACATTAATTGAGATTTTCCCCTATAATTTAAATTTAAAAACTGATCTAATAGAATTTCTCTTGTTCCTGCCCAAACAACTCCCTAGTTATTTACAGAAAATTTAATTCAGCCTTGAAAATAACTGCTGTATTTTCCTATTTTATACTTCAGTATTTCAGATAAGCATCTCACTATTTATTCAGCCAAATCATGAATGACTAATGAATCTAAGTGAACGAGGTAGAAAAGTTGGTGTACATGTTTGGTAGGGCATTGGCAGGAATCTTTCCCAGAAATGTCACCGGTACCATCTGGAAACTGCCTGCTATCGTTTCAGCATTTGCAATATGATGACATCTAAATATAGAGCAGTCAGAAATTACAGGATAATCATGTATTTACCTTCAATGACTCCCCAAGGTGTTTTCCTACCTAGGACTCTTTTCCCATTCACTTGATATTCTTTGTCACTGCCCACCACCGCAAATGGCATACTTTCCTGCTGAAAATACACATAGAAATTAATTTGCTTCTTTCTAGCATAGGTAAGAACGATTGTGTTTTTTCCAAAGCTTGCTCATACTTGGTTCTGTCCATTTCACTAAACCTCCTTTGAATCACATGTAGAATAATATATGTGTACTGCCTGTCATTGCTAGTTTCTTCCTCTGTACAGTATATCTATACATACAATGTATAATGGAACATACATTTGAATACTAGATATCTACTTTAAGCATTTAATAAATAGAAAGGCAGCACATAAATATGTCTAAACCAACAATAATTAAATAGGTTTGTAAAAATTTAATTAAAAAAAATTAGACTCCCCCACTAAATGCATAACATTCAAATATACATAAGGATAAAAATTCCATACTAACTCTGGATTCAGTCTCCAAAAGATAAGTATGATCTAATTTCAATATCAGGAACTAGCAAAAATAATACTTCATAAAAATCTAAAGTTTATATCTTCTCTCTCTCTCTCTGTAGTTCATATCAAACAAACTGAAGATGAAAAAAGAATAGTTAAACTACCTCAGAATCTACCAAAAAAAAGTCAGTCAGAATTATAAATACAGTACCCTGATTTTGTCATTCTCTGTTTTATCTTCAAGGTCTTCATCAAACTCTTTCTGGGGATAAAATTCAATTCCATTGACTTCTAGTTCCTTACGGACCTGGTTAGAAAAAATATTTCTGAAAATATTTCTGAAAAGCCTATGCAAGCAGACAGGATTGCGGACACAATTCAGAAAGGTATCTGGACTGGGTGCTTTGCGCGATGCTTTCCCAAGGGAGACTCACCCTCTGTTTGAACTCAATCTTCTCTTCCAGAGTCATGGTGTCTGCCTTGGCAATAACTGGAATAATATTTACTACTTTGCTCAAATGCTTCATAAATTCCATATCCAAAGGTCGCAAACTGCAGGAAGAAGATGGTTAAACAACCATAAGCTTCTCTACTGTGGGATAGCGTCTTAATATTCTTAATAAAATTAACGATTTAATAATAATTAATAATTAATAATTTAATAATAATTAATCTAATTAATGCCTCTAATGTATTCAGCTCCAGTTTAGAAGGTGGGTGGTAATATACAGGAAACTAGCTGATCTGTGACTCTAGACCCTTTCCTATTAATTTATGGCCATCAAAAACACACTTCTGAGTGGCAGAGAAAGAAAGAAAAAATAAATTCTACGCACAAAAACATCAAGGAACAGAAAATAAGCAAGAAAAAACATCAGGCACCTTGAGGTAAAGTGTGAAGTATGAAGATTACATAAGTGCCCATTTTGCCAAGCATCACTCTTGTTGGCAGCCATAACTGATAGCAGTTACTAAGGAGTACAGACAGATCTGGTAAAATAATTACTTCTGTGTAATCACACAAAGAATATATTTATGCATATTAAGTATCCAGAGGCGTTGTGTTCTCCTACTGTACTGTACACTCATATTTAGAAAACTTCATATATGAACCAGCCTTAAAAATATTCTGTCATGGACACTTGCAGACAATAATTATAATGCGTAGGAGTAGCTCTTCTAGGTCTTCATATGCATGATTAGCCATAGAGATATAACATATCTCAAGCATGAACTTTGCTTTGGCTGAAGCTTACCACCCTCTTCCTTTGGCCTTTGGAAGAAATATTAGAGTTACCATGAAATCCATGCTGACGTGATTACTTTAGCCTGCTGCGAAAGTTACTGGGGAATTTATTCCAACACTTCATCAGTCCCAAGAGGGTATTTTTTCCTCTATTAACACATCCTATCACTGCCAGGCCTCATCCCCCCACCGTCTTATGGACCAGCCCCAGAACTAGTGAGAGATACATACGAGTGGCCTGTGGGAGAGATAAAGTAGAGGCAACAGTGAACTCTTGTATCTGGGATTCGTTTCTTTCTGGCAATGTTCACCTCTTCCTTCAAGAATTTCTCATATTGCTCATTGATGTATTTTTCAATGGGCTCCCAGCTAAGCAAGCAGGAGAGAAGAGGCAGATAGACAACTCTTCATTTCATGTTCTGACATAGAGTAATAGGTTTTTGGGAGGAAACAAACCACAGGCAGTTTTACAAGACCAAAACAATTGTTGGGTTGTTCCATTCTATAGCCTAATAATCTGACATTCTGATTATTACAAAATTGTAACTGATATTACAGAATGAAACTGAGATGCTGCTTATATGATTTTAGATTTAGATTTTAGAATCTCTGTATTTTGTGATGGAGTCACCAGATATGCACAATTATGGCAAACTACTGAGGTATATATCACCTATGGAACAAAATATAGTTAGATCATGTTTTATGAGCAACAAAACAAATTATGTAACATGAAAAGCAGCTGGATGATTTTGTAGGGTCATGGAATATATACCTATGAGAAATTCCTAAAATAGCTAAAATGTATTCATGCTAAATTATTGTATAATTTTTCAGTATGTCCTCTGAATTTATTTGTAGTACCTCATTTCTATCTTCACGTACGTTAAGGAGGAAATTCAAAATTGCTTTGACAGCTTAGGGCTCTGGATGACACGTTTTTCATACTGAATTTGGGTCCCTTTATGCAGCATGTCCAATCTGTCATTTAGCAATGCAATATTCACAGAGAATAGGGGAACCATGCTACAATCCTTATGCTGGTAGGACTTTTCCTTATATTCCTTATATTTGGAATATAACAGTTTCCCAACTGCTGTCCATACTGGCAGCATAATAGTCCACACTGAAGGGTTTTGTAATCACACTAGTGTGACCACTTAGGGGGAAATTAACCTCCTTACCTGTAATCAGTAAATCAGTTTTTAGAGACTATCTTACCAACTATGAGAGTGTTGAAATATTCCTGTTGGGATTTGTTTAGTAAATATCATCATATCATCAAACCTATAGTTTGAAATAATGGAGTGCAAGACACATGCTATATTTCTGGATGCTATTTCTGAAAATACTTGTTTGTGTGTGTGTGTTTGTGTGTGTACTAAGTAGAGCCTGCAAATTAGAATTCTGCCATATTTAAAGCCTGCCCCCTTGTCTACTTATATTAGTCATTCAGGAGGAAAAGAAAGTTGGATTGAAACTGAAAATCAGTGAAAAAACAAAACACTTACCAATTTTCATTGTTGATCTGGTCACCAAATCCAGGGGTGTCAATAACTGTCAGCTTCATTTTGACACCACCTTCTTCAATAACTGGGAGAAAAATGTTGCTGTTACCCGCCTTCAAAACTAATATATATGTATTATATTTAGGGCATGATTATTTCTAGAGGACACAAAGGGCTACAGAGTTTTATAGCCCTTTAGAAATAATTCATTTATCTAGGTATATATTCTTAGTGACTGGTGAAAGCAGCGCAGTGGATCATGAGTGAAATGTTTGCAATCATCCCTAGTGAATGAGAGAGGAACAAATAACTTAAATTCATATTCACAGAGAAGCCTATTCACATTTGACACATATTAATAATTTAAATGATCTGATTTGGGAAATGTATTTATTTACAATATTTGTAATCCTTGATTGGTAAGAAGTAGAAGGTATGTGTCCTTCCACTAAGTGATTACCTATACTGATTCCAAATCTAGCCCAAATCTTGGCACTAAGAAATAGTCTTGACCAATAAAAACAATACTTCAAAGGCCATCTGATTGCATGGATTCAACCATGCCACTTCCATTCATCCATACTTGTACAACCACAGTATGTATAAAATTGTATGCAGGTAGGCAAAAACATGACAACAATAACAATCACACAGTTGATTTCCAAGATAATATCTAAGAACTGACTTCAGAATTCTGGCGTACTAATGTAGGATTATACCTGAATATACCTGTATATTCTTGAATATATCCTGCAAGGATGGGTGGGATAAGTAATAGGGATGGAATACTAGACTGGATCAACCTTAATTAGGTCTTTCAGATATATCAGTGCTTCCAAACCTTCTATAAGCCTGGTCCTGATTTCCCACAATGCCTTGGATCATTTTTGCTACTCAAAGGATTCTCTGGTATACATCAGTTACACCATTGTGGTTAATGTATAGTGTAAGCACTTTCACAAATGAAACAATGACATACAGTCAGGTCCAGAAATACTGGGACATCGACACAATTCTAACATCTTTGGCTCTATACACCACCACAATG